ATTAATGTAATGAGGATATATATATATATATATATATATATATATATATATATATATATATATATATATATATATATATATACACGACTCGTGGTGGTAGGCACTGGCTGCTGATACCGTATACCGGCATTGTGCATGGAATCAATGACCGGTAGGTTCGATGGAGACGTTGACCCATAAACAATACACCATAATCTAAGAATAGGAACGGAGAAGATCCTAACAAGACACCAGGCATCTCTTCAAGTTTCTGCCATGTGGCAGATTCGCAAAGGGAATTGTTGATGACCCCCCCCAAAAAAAAGATCAGGATGATTATGGAGGTAATATATTCTACAACTGAAATTTGGAACATGCAACTGGATTTTGAGGTGGAGAACTTCAATCTAGTTTTATCGCTCCATTCTTGCAATTTGTTGAGGACAAGCGGTAGCTACCTCTCAATAACTTGCATTCTCTTCGAGGAGCAGAATATGGAAAAGCTATCAACGAAGAGCAATGTTTTCAAAGGCTCCCGAATTACTAATGCGATGCTATTGATAGCAACCGCAGAGTTACACTCAGAATTGATCCTTGGGGACAGTTTTCTAATTGGTGACGTGATAACAGGGTAACGTGTCGCCAAGGCGGACGCGGAAAGATCTTGACGAAAGAAAATCTACTAGAAACGAAGGGAGCCGTCCCCCAAGGCCCCAAGAATGCAAGGTGCGAAGAATGCCGTACATCCAGGTGGAGGCATACGCTAAGTACTTCTGTGTATGTGTGTATGTATATATTTTTAATAATTCTGCAATTAAGTTTGAGAACTTAGTGGCAGAATACCCTACCTTAACATTACAGAACTTAACAACTTTACAAAACCTACAAACGTCACCACACTTTGCTTCATCGAGCTGTAATGTCTTTCTTACACACTCGTTTCCCTCAGTTTTACAACGTCATTGCACTTCACGAAACTGCACTGCACATTATAATACTAATAATACTAATAATAATAACAATAACAATAATAATACTTAATTACATAGAAGACAGAGTTACTTATTCTGAATAATATTAAATACATTTATAACACACATATGAACATTCAGAACAAAAGTATATTAGGTTTCTATTTTATACTTTTTTAATATAAAATTTATATGAAAAAATGTAACGAGAATTTCACTTAAAAGTTTTGTAGTGGCTACGGGAAAACCCTGGCCAGTTGTCAACACATGGATACTAAAATGTAACCACAAGAAAAACAAGAAAGCATCGCAACATGTTGCTGGCGCCAGACTAGCTCAGCTACCAATGGTGCAATAATTTTTTTTCCATCGAAAATCTTCAGTAGAACAAGAAATAAAATGGAACAAAATTTGGCATTTAAAAGCAGTCCGCTTTACACGAAATGTTTTTAATTGATTTCTTTAACTTCCCTAAATATTAAACATATACAGGTGTCCCCTTTAACTTGACTACTTGAAATAACTAAAGAAATACGCGATGTACGAAAAATTGAGCAGAGATAAAATCTTAACAGTTTTGAAGGGGGAATCATTCTACGTTTAAATCAGAACCCCCTGCCCCCAGCGAGTGGGCAACAATGAAATCTTAAATAGGAACTACCATTTTTAATTTCAGATTCGGATTTTACGGACAAAAATACATGTTTTTTCTGAAACTTTTTTCTGATTTGTGACAGGTAGAGCGGTAATAGCAAAAATTTAATTTCCGAAGATTCCCGACTGTGATTGGAGTGGTTTTGAGTGTGGCCTCAGGGCACATCCGTCAATTTGTTGGTAGCGTCCATGGTCCGCGCCTACAGTACTTCAGAGGCGATCCGATATTTATTAAACATTTACCTTTCTGAACTAACATTCCTCCTTGTTGCATCATGGTTTATGTAAATGTGCAAGAAAAATGAAAAGATTTTCATTTACGGCGAAACTGAGAGAAATTTCGACGCTGCAGTTAATTTGTATGCTCAATATTTTCTTGACAGTACGATCCCGTGCTTTCGTTAGAATTGTTCAACAATTCTCTACTAACGGAAGCGTACAACCGAAGAAAAGAACACGTAGAGTTTCTGCTACTGGAGAAAAAAATTAAACATCAGTTCTGGCTGCAGTAACACATAATCTACATGCGAGTGTTCGAGAAATATCTCAACAATCAGGGATTCCTCGTATGAGTGTTTGGAGGATACTGACATCAGGAATTAACTGACAATGACTTTCAAAACCGACTACAGTTTTGTCAATGGGCAGTTCAGAGAATGCAAACTGAACCTTTTTACTCAAGAACTATTCTCTGATGAATCGACATTTACAAAACACAGTGAAGTTAACAGTCATAACATGCATTTTTGGAGTGTAGAAAGCCCACACTGAATTTGTCAAGTAAATCATCAGCGACCTTGGTCGGTTAAAGTTTGGTGTGGAATAATTGGCGATAAACTTATCGGACCTTACTTTATTGACGGTAATCTAAATGGTGACAAGTACAGAAACCTTGATAAAGAACTACCGAGAATGCTGGAAGTGCGACAAAACGTGTAGTTTCAACATGATGATTGCCTAGCACATTACTTATTAGTAGCACGCGAGGTATTGGATCGAGATTACAATAATCGTTGAATCGGTAGAGAAGTACCAGTGTACTGGCCAGCCGGATCACCAGATTTCTTTGTGTGGGGTTACCTAAAAGATGTTTATAAAGAAACACTTGTGCCGCGATTATGTGTTCATTCATTTGTAGGACGAATCAATAAATGCATTGAGGTTCAGGGCCATCATTTTGAGAACTCACTTTAAATAAATGCTGCGGTATTTGTATAATCACCTAAAATCAGCACTCCGATAGTGAGAGGCAAGGAGACTCACTAAAAACAATCACCCCAATAGTGAGAGGCAAGGGGATTCACTGAAAACAAGCACCCCAATAGTGAGAGGCAAGGGGACTCACTGAAAACAAGCACCCCAATAGTGAGAGGCAAGGGGACTCGCTGAAAACAAGCATCCCACAGGGAATAGAAAACTACTACGTCCACGTCATTGTTCCTGGGTTCCGCTAAAAGTAGTTTATTGACTTCCGTAGAAAATACTTATTTTTATTAACCACTCAGAAATAATCGACAACGCTCAAAACCACTCAAATGACAGTCGGAAATCTTCGGAAATAAAATTTTTGCGATTACAGCGCCACCTATCACCAATCAGAAAAAATGTTTCAGACAAAACTTATGTATTTTTGTCCGTAGAATCCGAATCTGAAATAAAAATGGGAGTTCCTATTTAAGATTTCAATGCTGCGCACCGCTCCACCTGCTGGGGGCGTGTGTGTGTGTGTGTGTGTGCTGATTTTAGCATAGAATGATTCCCTTTTCAAAACTTAAGATTTGGTCTCGGCACAATTTTTCGCATTTCGCGTATTTTTTGAGTTATTTCAAGTTGTCAAGTTAAATGGGACGCCGTGTATAAGATACACGATATTGTTCAGAAACAAAATCGACAATTTCAAAATATCAGTCCTTATTTCATCGTCATCATTGCTGCAATCTTCCAGGATCAAAATTTCATAAACATCTTCAGAAAGATTCAGTTAAAAACTCCTGTGCTTGGAAAGATTGTTCACAGACACGGTGTTAATTTTTCCTAGATTCAAGAGGATGTATAATAAAGATATGGCTATGAAATTAGGTTATCAGTTATGAGTAAAAGGGAAATATTCAGAATATTGTAGGCACGGAGCAATAGCGTGTGCGGTTAATCATATAAGTCGCGACGAACCCCAAATATTGAATATTTGAACAACAAACTGCTACATGTCATAAAATTGAAGTAATAATAAAAAGGCCATTTTTGCACAAAGGCAAATCTTTCCAAACTTCCGGGGTTTAGTAATGACACATGAATTACACTTTTTAAAAGTTTACAGGCTAGAAGTTCAGTTGTATTTTATTTCAGATATTTTTGAGAGGAAAAAAATGTAAGGGGAAAGGGTATCCCTGAAATTTGACGAAAACGATCTCTAAAATTACATGTCATCTGAGTAGTCAAACTGTGATTGTAACATAAAATTAAGACTTTCGAAGGTGCCAGGCCTCCCCCTCCACGTTTTTATCTCTCTGACCTCCAGTCTCTGGTCAATGCTAGCGCCTACACCGATCTGCCGGCTTGCCCCCAAAATATTTTACGATCGATTTAAATAAACTTGATACTGAACATGAAGTCCTAAAACATGTTCAAAATTAACTCAAAAATGCCTCAAATGTTTTGATTCAACGTTTTCCTCGGATAGTGTAATAGATACTTAAGAGAATGGTGCATTTCGATGAAATCCCTGATATTTTTGAAAACTGTATAAGTTCTTTTCAGGGTCTTCCTATAAATACAATATTCAAAATGGAGATTTTCCCCTTAATGAAATCTGTTCTTTAAAGACAGGTCTTGAGATAAGGTCACGTATACATTTTCGAGAATAAGAGAAGTTTTCACGTAATTTCGTAAAAATATGGGACATTTTAAAAATGTTTAGACATTTCTTTACTCGAAGCTTTCTTATAGACCCCAGAGGTCTTGAGCGTTATTTGTAAATGGCGATTACACAATTCTAATATCCGGCTGGCGTGGTAAGATTTTGACGCACACCAATTCGGTTAATTTACCAATTCAGTTTTGTATCAGAAAAAAGTAGATTTTTTATTCGGAAATATTTGGACAACCCGCAGAGCTTTGATTCAATAGCACAATTTTCTGGATATTTAGAAGAGAAAATGCTGTGCAGAAGCAAAGCGCATCTCAGTGATTTGTGGTTATGAAACCTGTATATCAAACTGAGGAAATACAGGACACGTTTTTCATCCAATTTTTTAGCAAAATTAAAAAGGTAGAGGTAAACAATCGGAGAATTTCGCCCCGTGTTAAGTGGAATAACTCAGAAGTGAATTAAATTTAAAACGCATGCATCTTGGATTCGTACCCCTTTCAAGCGTAAAGCAGTTCATTAAAACTTACCAGAAAACTGAGTTTTCCCTGGCTGCGACACGAGCGCTGCGCAGGGTAACCCCAGAAGTGGGGCTGCCACCTGATTTGGATTTGGGGTAGCAGGATTTCGTTTTTAGTAATTTTTTCAACTTGAAACACTGCACCTACAAATAAATGCATACTCGTTACACAATATTAGCGCTCTTCTCTAGATAGTCCTATGCCACATTTCCTTCGAAATTAAGAGAACATTCGCCCCATAAATTAATAATTTTATATATTATGATGCTGGTGAAACAAATGAAGCGGTACTACGAAAATATTTTTTCTTTACTGTGACGATAAATGGTGGGGTGGATTGTAACTTTCATTTCTCCGAATATCTGTGGCTTAGGCCTATCTAGAGTCAAACGCTTCGAATGTCAATAGTTTAGGCAAGACATTGTGAGCATATTTGGATTAAACTATTAAAAGAAGGTGGCAACATATTCATATTCTGAACATTTTATAAACAAAAAATGTTTTATGTAAATTTGGGGCCTACTAAAATCTGTGTCGATATTAAACCAGTTAAAATGAACAGATCAAACTAATTCATAAATTGGTATACCATTACGTTTTCAAGAAAAAGAATGAAAACATTCACAGGATGCAGAATTGTAAAAAAAAAAAAAAAGTCATAGAGGAGAAATATTAATTATCATATCCATGTGAATTGACGATAAAAATAGGTTGAATCTAGAACAAGAAATGTGAATGTAAGTCGACAGATCGACAATAACGCAAGCAATATGGCTGCGACAGAAACTGCTAAAAGTGCTTATTGGCATTTTTTATATCTTTCGAGAGCATTTGCCGTCAAACGTATCATTTTACTTTCAAAATTACCTTCGTATGGAATTTATAACCTCGCCCTACATCATGGCCTTGTATCATTAACAACTGTCTCAATAGAAATAACGAACTCATAACGGATAACTCCATGGATCAAAACGAAGCACCTATTGGAATATTTTTAGATATTTCAAAAGCTTTTGACGTCGTTGATCATAACATTTTACTTTCAAAATTACCTTGTGTGGAATTCGTGGTGTTGCTCTAGATTGGTTATTTTCGTACCTTAAACAACGATCTCAAATAGTAGAAATATCTTACTGGAATTAATGGAACATTATGCACACACCTTTCTGATTATTTGCCAATTGCATGTGGAGTCCCGCAGGGATTGATTTTAGGCCTTCTCTTCCTATTATACGTAAACAATATGCCCTCGACGATTAGAAACGGAAGAACAGTTCTCTTTGCGGATGATCCGACTATTCTTTGCAATAAAGATACCGTAAATAGTACAATAGCAGATATTTCAAATTTATTCCGTATAAACAAATTAATAGTTAATGAAGAGAAAACTGTTTCAATGCAGTTTTCCATTCCAACCTCTGCACTTCACTGAGAACAGCTCTGCATTTCACTGAGAATGAATGGTGTACCATTGACTGATGTTAAGGTAACAAAATGTTTAGGTCGTTCAATTCAAACCTTAAATGGAACGTCCATTTAAATGAATTGAATACTAAATTAAGTTCTTTATGCTACGCGTTCTGAATTCTTTCAAATTCAGTCAGCCTCCACACTGTTCGTTGTTATATTTCGCGAATGTTCATTCCCGCCTGAGATATGGATAATATTCTGGGGAAATACATCTTATAGCTCACAGACTTTTAGATTATAAAGAAGAATTGTACGAATAATAAACAAATCCCACCCACGTGATTCTTGTAAGCATCTCTTTATTAACCTAGGTATTTTACCATGACCTTGTCTCTTTATATATGAATCAGTGGTTTTCGTCAAAAATGACATACTTAAGGGCGGGAATGTGTTTTCAGCAAACGCCGTTGTCTATAACTACAACACTCGTAGTTATCACATTCATCAGGTAACAGTATCAACAGCTCACTACATATAATACATGTACATGTTTTTACAAGACCTTGCCAGATGACATTAAACGATTAAATTCGATACCAAAACTTAAGTCCCAAGTAAAATCTTTTCTGCTGCACAACTGGTTTTATACAATTAGGAACTATACTGAGTATGCAAAAGGAAAGTAATATTATTTTTTAAAATGACCTTAAATGTATTATATATCATTTGGATCGTATAATTGTAAAGAACCTGTAACAAGTATTGTACTTTAGCTTCTGGGTCAATGACCCCTATCTCTCATCAGGTTTTCATCCACTTTCCCTGATCCTTGGCACCTTGTTTTGCTTCTGGGCATACATTTAACTTCAAATTAACTTTTACTCATAGCACGTTACAGTTTTTAACGATTTTTAAGTAAATAAATACTGGATTGAAGGGATTTTTTTCTGAATCGGTCTCCGAACTCCGTTAGGAGCGTTGAACGCACTGGTGTAATGCTCCGTTAATAAGTGCCCTCTAAGGGCCACTGTATTGTCAAGTCACGTCAGTCATAGTCAAGTCAGGGGATCGCCGACAGGTAGCGTTTTCGCGCTCGCGTCTCGCAGGAGCTCTGCGTCAACGGCCAGAATTGGGAAGGAATAAGGATAGGGATAAGATATAGGACGCCTCACAGGGGTTGGACTAGCCCTTGTGAAGCACGCAAACTAGTTTTATCGTAACAAATCACACATGAGGTTCTAGGTGGACTCTATGATAATCGAATCCGGAACCTGAGTGGTGAAAGGAAAGCGACTTCGCTACTGAGCCACGAGAGATTTATTTCCAATTCATTCCCAAGGCGGTTTCCGCAGGGTTGGACTGTAGGCTCTTTCTTCTTCCTTCTATGCAGTAGTGACCACTGGAGACACTTCTCGGCCCCTTAAGTGCATGTAAATGACAACCGGGAGGCTATGGCTTCTCAATTTACGTCATTCTTTTCATTTAAATAGTACAGTGAATGTATTATATATTACAATGAATACGAAATACGTTTAAATCAAAAAACGCAATAGATAAAATCATAATTAACAAAACTACAAGTTAAGAAATAATAAAGAAAGATCTAGGTTACAGTGACCACGATGCACAATTTCCTATAATTATCAGTAACGTGACAACTGGCACATTAAATAATACACGCATGTATATTTATTTACTAAAGCTAAAATAAAATTATTTACACTCTAGTAGTAATCATGAAATGCAGTTTATAACGCTACTGACACAAACGAAAAAATAATTTCTCTTTTTCAAAGCTTCCATTTCACTACAATGCGTGCTTTCCTCTTAAAGGGAGAAAATTAAAACTTGCACGGAAAATACTCGATTTGCACAAGAAATTAGAATATCGAGTAAAAACAAACTCTTTAATAATGAAAAATTTAATGAAATAATGAAATATGGTATTTTCAACGCTAGTAACAAAACTAAAACACTGTGGAATACCGTGAACAGGTGCTAAAAAGCACAAATTTTACGAGTGTTAAGTACCTAAAAGGGTTTTTTTGGAAGGGGAAAGCATCCAAAAAAGGTGATAAAAAAACTACTTGATTCCTCTCGTCAAGATTGGCACTATTTTGATCCGAGTGATTGCACAATATTCTAAGATTGAGAGAAATTTGTGGGGGAAGAGATTGGAGGTTTCATGGGACTGAAAGAAGCCAACCTCTGTGTAATTTCGTCACAATGATGATTATTAAATCTAATTTTGTAATGAATAATAACAATGTTAAAAAACCATCGATACTTTTATCACGTAACGTACTGTGCCCGAGGATGGACGAAACAAGATATATCATGTTTGAAGTGTATTTTTATTATAAATTTGCCTACACAAGTTTGTAATACAAAAATATTCGCGCTACAATAAACTAGTTAGTTACTGCGTTTTCAATATCTGCTGGTGATATCGCACAAAACAATTCGAAAGTCCCGCCCCGCGGACGTTTGCATGTTTGGGGATTCACTCTGCTCCTAATAACACAATTGGACAATGAAAGTTTGTCGCGGAACAAAAGTATCCGAGTTATGTAGTTCAGTGCCCTGATAAAAATTGTGACGACCATTCAACTTTCTTCTGCAAACCAATTTTATCTGTGCTCGGCTGCTCTATGTTGTTGCGGCAGTTATCGCATTCTGGTTTTTTAGGAGTAGAAAACGTGTTTTTGGGAGTAGAGAAAGGAGATATCCACTTGGAGGAGGTAATGGACGTTGCACTTGCATCAGTGAGTCGATAGTGAGATCACACAATATCTATTCTTGAAGAGTGTAAATCCGTTAACATAAAGAATATTGTTTGTATTTTGAATAAAAGTAAATGAGGGTGTTGGTCACCGCAGAAATGTTGCTTCCGCTATTTAAAAGACTGGTTGCATGGAGACTACATTACAGATAGCTACTTTTGTTTAACGAAAGTAACAGGAATGTCAAGTCAATCGAAACAGTTTCTTATCCACAATTGTTATCTGCCCAGTTCCGCATTCTGATTCTTCCCCAGTTCCAAAACCAACAGATCACGATGAACAAAATCTTGATTTCACGCCATCTGCAGCAGCCTACAACCTCCGTCATTGTCACAGGCAGAATTGAATGACCTTGAAACGAGAAACTTTCGATAGCAATCGCCCCTTCCGATCAGTTGAAGGAAACCTTCGCGAACATGGGACTACTGCTGAAGTATACTGGCTACTCGATTCGCCAATGGAAGATCTGTAGTGATCTCGAAGTGCTGGGACTACTTCTAGGACTGCAGACTGGTTACACAAAACATTACTGTATCTTGTATCACTGGGTAAGTAGAAAAGAACATGAAGTCATAGAGTGGTCTTTAAGAGAAATTATCAATCCTGGTGAAAAAAAGTTACATAAATTCCTTGTTGACAATGGCAGTGTGCTTTTACCACCACTCCATCTGAAATTGGCCGTATTATTTTGTGAAACCAACGGACAAAGATGGCCAGGGTTTACACACACACACGCACACAGTCTTCATGCCTCTCTATTGGACCATAGATCATCTTGCATTTCTCTTACCGTCATAGCCTCTTGCACTCCCTGCTGCCATGCAAGTTAGGGTCTTTCTGTCGGCATCCATTTCAGGACTCGTTTTGGCCATCTTTCGTCCGTCATTCGCATAACATGACCGCACCAAACGAGATTTTTTCTCTATTTCGTCAAGGATAATTTCTTTTTCTTACAAATTTTACTATGTAAATTTCCTGTGATCAGCACTGGAAAAAAATTAAGAAATTTTTTCCTCAGATACGGGACTTCAAGGATATTACCTTTGAACAGTTGCTGACAGATACTGAGAAGGCAGCTAGGCTTTGCATTTGAAAGATGAATGCGACAATGTCATGGGAAACGTATCGTCTGAGAATTACAGGGAACTGACGGAACACATGCTGGACTGTTACAAGGCTTCTTTCCAATTTTGATTTCTTTCCATCTAGTCTTGGAGATGTGACGAACATGGTGAGCGATTTCTCCACGTTAACGCAGCCACGGGAAGATCAAACCTTTTAGAGTACACTCCAATAAGAAGTATCACCATCAACCCACAAACGAAATGTTTCCAGGCAAAGTTCCTAACTTGTACGTACATTTCAAGATTTATTCATCTTTCTCGTACTAATTCATTTTGTTTCGCAATACAATTATACAAATAATTTGATATAAACCATTTTTTGTAATACAATTATTTATTATCTGGGCTCTAGATTAATACACCACAGATTCCTCCTGTACTGTTATTGAGCCGTCTTGAAAGTGGTATACGTGGGGTATCTTTTCCAGAAAAGTTGGTACGAGATGGATCATTTCTGATTTCATTTTCGCAATCAGCACATGTGATCTAGTAAAGAACACATACTTTCATATCGCGGCAAGACACACAGTTCAAATTTGTTGTGTAATTACTGACCATCAATGAAAATAACCAACAATTTTGGTTAAATTTTAACATTGCATATCGTATACGATGCTTAAGAGAATGGTGCAACTCTCATCTTCGTTGAATTTTTAATAATTGCAATATTTTTTTTTGCACCTTCCTACAACTATTATTATTAAGATAAACATTTTTTCCTTAATCAAATATGATCATCAAAAACATCATGTTCAATTTTTCAAAAATATGAGTATTTCTTGCGAAATTTTGTGTCGAACTTTTATTTTCGTTAAACTACTCTTTCTCGTAAACGGTACGGTTTCTTAAAATTAAATTTGAACCTTAGCGTAAAGGACGCTTAAGAGAATAGTGCAGATATCTCGTGCGTTGAAATACCTGATTTTTCGAGAGAGGAGAGAGGAGAGAGGAGAGAAGAGAGGAGAGAGAGAGAAAGACGCTGTCTTCCTACATCTAAAAACATGGAAATACATTTTAAAAAACTGAAATGTGTTCATGAAATAACAGATCTTCAAATAAGATCATGATGAATTTTTCGAAAATATGAGGATTTTTTGTGTAATTTGGTGTCGAATGTAATGAATCCAGGCTTCGAATGTGATTCCAGGCAGTTGGATGCTACGTAAGTTAGAATTTGTGTATTATTCCATATTCTAATGTTCGTATCTTAAATTCGAGCTTTTGTCATACGCTTACAAATTAATTATTTGGAAATTATTTAAAATCTATTTCATAATCCATATTATTTGCCCGTGTTGCGAGGAATGTAATTGTATTTTCTATGTAGTAATGTATTTTCTTTCAAGCAATTCGCAAAATAATTAAAATTAGCCCAATTAGGTTATTTCAAAAATACGATTTAAATGTAATATGAAAGAAAAAATGCTAGTCTTCGGGGAATATTAGATTGGAATGCAATAAAGACATTCTGCGCCGCGAGATGGTAGCTGAATTTCTGCGAATGTCTCATTGTTGGGACATGATTTAGCAGTATGAAAAGCAGTTATAATTGTGAAATGAGTTTTACAAAAAATGAGAGAGGCGTTAATTCAGAGAGAAATTTTGGTGTAAATATTACATAACAATAAGCGGAAGAAAGTTTGCGTTGTTTTAGTATCACTAGTTTGGAGAAGAGATTTCGAGAAACTCACGATCTCACAATTTTGTAAATTTTGTACATAATAATTTAATCATTCGTAAACGTAAAAAAATAAATGATCTAATTTCCAAGAATACATTTCATTAATAAACCAATTCTTTGGGCTTCAATGATCGAACATAAAACACGTTTTAGTGTCATGATATTGAAAATAGAATTTTCTCGTGTGTGACATTTATGGCGCAATTTGAATCGCATCGAAGATAACCTAAAAAATGATTTGACCATTCCAGGAGTTTTGTTGATTCCCGTAAGTCTTGGATCGTGTTCAGCACACGTTGATATGGCGCCCATATCGTGGTTATCAATTGGAATATTTGTTGTAATGTAATCTAGGTTTTCATGACCGGCTTCGATAGGAATATTGATTTCCGGGCTGACGGCCGTGGTCCCAAGGAAATGGTTAGATCTTTCATTAGTTCCGTCTACACATGCGATAGATACCTTTAGTGGCGACATGGAAATGGGCGTAGCATCCTCCATGTCGACTGCTGGCTGACACACTTGTGATCTTCTATAGATGTGAGATATGTGAAAACCAGATGGGGTTTTGCTGGTAATGATGCACTTGTGATCTGTTCCATCTGTACTGTTGGACCATCGTCTTTCTCATTCTAATGGATATTTTTTATTTTTTTTTTTTCGCGAGCAGCACTTAATTATTTTAAGTAGTCTACATTCCAAATTTTACTCTGTTGAGCGACTCAGCTCGAATTGGTATAACTGTCGGCGTCTCGGGCTGATGTGCCCACGTTTGAGGTTCAAACCCGATCCGTGGATTTCTAAGAGCGAAAAAACCCTTCGTACGACTTCCATCGGAAGGGAAGTAAAGTCGGCTGTGCCTTGTAGTAGATTTACTGCATGTAAAATAACCTCAAGCCTAAAAGAAGTCTCTTATCGAAATTCGAAAAAAGCCTGCTCCGTTGCCCGAGATATCTCCTTTCTCCGCTATATGGTGAAAGGAGCGTAGCGAAATTTGCGTGGTCAGGCGGAAGAGGGGGCTTGATGGTCCAAGTCTCACTACGTAAAATAAGGCATTATCTAACAGCTGAAATGTCTAGTGGCTCAAATATATATATTAGGACAGGGAGCATTTTTCCCGCTTAGGGGTCCTCTTGCAACATTCGAAACATAATTAAGATAATGTAAAATCAGCTTAACGATAGTATAATAGAGATGACATTTTTGAAGGTATAAAGAAGCGGTATATTTGTATTTTTCTATTTTGTATTTACTTTTTTGTGTTATATGATAATTTAATTTTGTGTGTGAATAAATAAAATGTCAAATATTTGTTTAAACAATATGTTCAAACTTAATAAAAATTCTAAAATTATTTCATTCGCCTTAAATATCACGTTCGAAATATAAAAATAAGTTGATACGAGAACTAACTGTAGTTTTTACACTACATAACACTATTTTGCCAAGTCTTGATTTCTTATTGGATGCTTTTGCAGGTTTTGGAGTTTTTTTCTGCACGTTGTAGGGAGTTTTACTGCATCCGGTCTTTACTGATCTTGTGCCACTCTGTTTCACTTCGGAGAATCCTGCGTGGGCTACAGACTTGCGGCGGCGTCACGCGAATGCTTGATTCAGTTTCAAGCTAGATGTTGCTTGAAATTCCGCGGTACAAAGCGCATCTTGTTCTACGTACGCGACAGGAAGCGCGAGACTGCCACAGCCCCACAGGCCTGGCGACACCCACCGCGCCGCGTGGAAAAGCAATCTGTTTTCTTCAGCAGCTTGCGCCATGCCGCGAACGAAAGAATCTCGTATGTTATTAGGAGAGTAAAAGGGCGTATGGAGAGAGGAACGGAGTTCCAGCAAAGCAAGAGGCATTGAAGAATGTCAAAACTGCATGATGATACTTACAGACCGTGGACAATGCAGAATTAAGTATGGACAGTAAGTATGGACCAAACTGACCAAATTTTGACAATTGCACAAGCAGAATAGACAGAGACCGGGTAAGTATAATTATACTTATTTACATATTTATTATTTCTGCTGGTAGGTGTATACACCCTGTGGCAGAACACTAGAAGACAACAACAACAACAACAATAATAATAATAAAACAAAGGTAATTACAATAATAGCATTTGGGACAATTAAAGTTACCAGTTGTGTTAATTTTATCAAACCAAAGATATTTAAGTAAAATAAGTTTATTACAAAAGAGAAAAATTTCTTAAGTCTATATTTGGAGGTACGTTAACAACTAAAATAATTATTAACTTATTAAAGAATAGTTTAACCCCAACGATATCAACATTCCGAAATAGTTCATGAATACTATATAAGACAATAGGAGAAACATCAAAGCGCTTGCAAATTTGCTATAAGTACCCCTCCACCTGTTTGACTTGAGTGATCTTCATGAAAAATATCATATTCATTGATAACAATAAATTCTGAAGACAATACATTTGGTTTAAGCCAAGTTTCTGTAATACATATAAAATCCAATGTTGATAAATCATCGCAAAAAAAGACAGTTTATGGCAAATACTCTGAATATTTTGATAATGGTAATACAGAGATTCCCAACAATTTTCATCAGTTTTGGTACGCTGCCTATAAACTGAATAGTCCAATTTAGTTTTTCTCTATAAGTATCTATTTGAGTTTTGCTATTTCTATTATTATTACTATCATTATTATTAGAATAATAATAATTATTATTATTATTATTATTGTTATTTGAAAGTAATCGCATTTTTGTTAACTCCCCAACAATGATACACTAAATTTTATTGTTTTCTACGCAAGAAAGATAGCAGAGATTGCAAAAATTATTATGCGAAGAAGCACTGGCCCCACGTCTGATATCTGGACAAAAAATGTAAAATCGCACCACTTGTAAATTCTGTACACTTATAGCTTCCTCCTTTGCACATCATATTCAGATTGATGGAAAGTTTTCTGAATGAGATGGAAAAAGAGTGGGCTGGGTTTCTTGTACTCTAAGAAATGATTCCTGAGGATAAGTGCAATGAAAATGTAGAAGAATATACTTGTAGGACCAGAAATAAAGGAACTCACAAAGGATCATGACTTTGAGGCAAGTTTGAATCATTTGGGGAAAGCTACATAGACATTGCTTGAAAATCAAAAGGTCATTACCGAACTCCTAGGTAACAGAAAAGCTTACTACTTTGAAGAACTAGTATCATATCTCTTTCACAATTATAAATTTCTGGGATGTACAACGTCTCTTAAAACACATTTTTTGAATTTACAGTTAAGGCTTCTTTTATGAAAATCTCAGCGCTGTGAGTGACGAACATGGTGAGCAAATCCACTAAGAAATTATAACACAGGAAAAACATTATCAAAGAAAATGTAATCAAAATATACTAGCAGACTATTGCTGGGCACTGAAAAGAGATGATCAAGCGCAATGCAGTGAACAATCACTTAAAACTACATTTTGATCGAGATTAAGCAAGCAAAGTTAATAAAACCAATCATTATACAACAGTATCGACTTAATAAACAAGTATTACAAAGAAACCTTGCCCGTTAAAAGTAAATGCTCTGCAAATTTGACATTAGAGCGCCATTTTCTATAAGAAACTGCCATTCTATCCCTTTAACAGACAAAAAGTTGAATTTTGTAGACCTGTGTTATGTACTTGATTTTTTTACTTTTAAATCTGACTTTATGTCATAATTAGAAAGATACAGAGAATGAACTAATAGTCTCCTGATGGATAGAGTAAATGAACTCTTCAGTCTTCTTATCTGAACTCATTAAGAATTTATGATATTAACTGGAATGGTGATTGAGATTACTAATAAGTCGAAGCCTTATAATACTAATAAGAAATCGTCAGAATGGGTCAGGAATTGTATACTAGTAGTAACCTTGTTAATAAACAGGATTCACAGCCAACAGAAAGTCATTGACAGCCATAATTATACTTCAAAGTATTAATTTACATTCCATTTCAAAATATAAAATATGTGGCTAATGAAAAATACTTCTTTTGGTTTCCTGACATTATTGAGTTATTTTTTGTTACATTGTTTTGTATTAAAAAAAAAACAGGGTGTTTCGAAGTTTTTGCTTGTATTTCTTTCCTACAATAGTCCAAATATCACAGAATAAAACAAACTTATTTTCATTCAGTCCTTGAGTATTTGTGGCTGACTGAATATGTGTTTGCTACTGTAATTATGGAAAGGTAGACAGGCATTGAAGGAAAACTTTCTGCTTTCTTCTGCATAGGGTACTCTCTCAAGTGTGACTTGGAGAAATGTGACTTGGCAGAAAGTTGAAATAATGCATCCAGTGATAATAAACACAGTACTATTTAATGTACATGGTGGCTGTTCAACCATACTGCAGTTCCATATTCTGCAGCACTGTACACAAGGCTGAGGAACTGAGTACTTCAGAGTTTCAGCTCCCCATATGAGGTTGCAAAGCTTCAGAAAAATGTTTCCAGCATACATTTAAGGTACAGATCAGTGTTATACCCAGAAATGTGGGGTGTCAGATTATTAACAAGATGGAAAAGGCGCTCGCCAGAAAATATTATTACACCTCCTCTCTGAAGATGGTGTGCATTAATTTGTTGCTAGTTCTATTAAGGGACAATCTAGATTTTAGTTTTCAATTTTCATAGATATCTGTTTATTCTCCTCTGGAGATTCTTGAACTTCTTCTGTGACCTCTGCCTACAAAGCAAATGTTCAAACTACATATGCTCCGTCCCCCCCCCCCCTGGTCTTGACCAATGCAGCTCTGGCAGAGGGGTTCTGATTCTCATCATGGGGCCGAGAGATGTGTGAACAGAGTTGTGCAAGTACAAGTTCCCAAACTCAGAGAGATGGGAGGAAGGGAATTCCCCTATCACATACACGTTGAGAGACAAACTATCCCAAGGTCGATGTCTAGGCTGACACCTTCACTGACCTAATGCCACGACTGAAATGCATATCACAGGGACAGAGAAATTAAAACAGACTCGCAGATGCATTTATTCCGTGAAGAGATTATTGCATCACACTGACAATTGCATTAAATTCACAGAAATTCCATTTTAAAATGCCATTTAACTTAACAAGCCAAAGAAATTTTCTGCTTAAGGCAAATTACCGGATTGTACATGTACCAGTTTAGACAGATTTCGGCCCCTGCTAATGCGAGCTGGGCCAAGATCTAAGTTCCAGTCTGGTCTCCCAGCATATGTGGTAGTGTAATGTGTGTGTGATTAAGAAAGGGGTGAGGATAGGGCAAGGAAGGGGAAGAAAAGGTAGAGTGCAGTCCCTGGCCCATTTGTTAGGGTACTGTTCCAGCATTCACCTGGTGTTGATCAGAGAGACCACAGAAAACTACTAATCATAGCAGCCAGCCACTAGAATTCTTTCAAGACAGCAGCTGAATTCGACCTGTCTCGCTAGTGTTGAAAAGCCTGCTGTCGTCAGAATTCAACCCCAAGGATGTTCTGTTCAAAGGCATTACAGAGATC